TGCGCGCCCAAGCTTGGAATTGCAGTTAGAGTGCGCGCCCATGCGCGCCCAAGCCTGGTATTGCAGTTAGAGTGCGCGCCCATATGCACCCAAGCTTGACATTGCGGTTAGAGTGCGCACCCATGCGCACCCAAGCTTGGCATTGCGCACTCATGGGCGCCCAAGCTTGACATTGTAGTTAGAGTGCACGCCCATGCGCGCCCAAGCTTGGCATTGCTATTAGAGAGTGCGCCCATGTAAGCTGGATATGTGTGCGCCCAGGCTGGATATTGTCGTTTGAGTGCGAGTCCACGTACGCCCGAGCAATAGGATTGCTAGCTGGGATGATTTGCCGTCACGATCCCGTTGTTTTATTTCCTTGCTGATCAGCAACACCTCATGCACGTGATATCTTCCCTCTCACGGGGAGCATTGGCAGTTCAGTCCCTGCACAGATGACCTGGCTTAGTCTAGCCCCAGTACATTCAGCATTTACGACTGGTCCCTGTGCATGAGATGTTTCACTGATCAGCTGTTGTTCAACCGGGCCCTTCAGGCGGGCCTATTTGAGATTGAGTTGTTGATTCAGCCGGGCCCCTTCAGGCGGGCCCACTTCTCGAGATTGCTGCAGTTTTCAGCCAGGCCCCTTCAGGCGGGCCCTTTTCTTCTGAGGTAGCTGCTGTTCAGCCGGGCCCATTCAGGCGGGCTTTATATTGAGTTGCTGATCAGCCGGGCCCATTCAGGCAGGCCCTATATCGAGTTGAAGATCAGTCAGGCCGTTCAAACAGGCCTCCACATTGAGTTGCTGATTGCTATTTGGTCAAATCTTGGAGTGAGTATTTGCATTAGAGAGCGTGCATTCCATCCAAGCTGGCTTGCCGTCGTGAGACTACCCCTAAGTGGGGTAGATTGATTGAGAGGTCCTGCTACAGATATGTGGGACATCAGAGTTTCACTATCAGGGCTAATGAGTCCTCGACTTCGAGACACACGCTCGTGATCACCTACTCGGTGAAGGGGGCAGAGACGGGAGTGAAGGGCACCACATACGACAGGATTGCGGATTACATATTTCGCAGGGAGAGCTATTGGAGGGACAACTGGCTGCACGTGGTGTTTCCTCGCGTACCTTCCGCTCCTGGGGGTGTGCTCTTCGATTTTGACGGATGCAACCCCAAGCCCCTTATTGAGCCCCGCAGCAAGGACAAGAGGCAGAAGGACGACCGGATCCAGAGAGAGAGAACCAGATCCGGAGTCCCAATCACTACATGTGTCCCAAAATCAGAGACAAATGAGTCGGATTTGGAGCCCTGCTCTGTGAGTGACCTTAATCTTGGCGATTATTTCGACTGGGACACTCACAGGGGTTACGTTTGTGGACAGTGACAGTAGCGCTAGAGACCGGTGAGCGGCGACGGCGGAGAGCGACATTGAGGAGGATCGCATATCTTCTCGCGCGATACTTACTTGAGGGTGATTGACTCCTACATGTCAGACGACCCTAGGTTCGAGACAGTTATTGGTCCCCCAAGAGGGGAGGGTCCGGTCCCATACCTCGGAGATGGCTATAGTCATGTGGTCGGGACAGACTTTGCTATGCAAGCTTATCGAAAGCCTCTTTACGGAGATCGCTTTCTCGAGGTTTCCTACATCTACTCTGGTGGGAGAGGACGTATTGAGATATTGATTGGAGCTTCAGGCGATATCATTCTTGCGGAGGAGCTTTATCTCAGGAGCGTCGCAGACGAGGAGATGGCTAGATGCATGGCCTATATCTGCAAGATTGATCCAGCAGCGCCTCTCGACATCAGCTACGTGGTTCCAGAGTCGATAGCCACGCGAGTTCTCAATGACGAGGCGCCAGATATGGAGTCCCAGACGGCAACACCTACTCACGAGGGGGTACCGCTTATTATCATTGATTGAGGTTCTCTCTTTTCAGTCACTATGATGTATTACGATATTATTATTTATTAGTGACTGCAGCCCTCCGATGGATGCTCCCTGCATACACTGTGTAGTACTCTTCAGTCTCGTACCTCTGGTCATACTCTTGCAGAGTCTGATTTCTGGTCTTCTTATTTTGTTAGTGTCAATTGCTCTATGATGCATGTATGTTATTTTCCTCCTTATTTTATACAGGTTACACTCAAGGCAGCTTGAAGGACTCCTGAATGATAGGGACTCCGGTGACCTTGGGTCTATCCTTTATACGGGGTCAGGTGCAAGCGATAAACCCGAACGCCTCACTCTAAGTCGTGTCGTCGCTGGCAGGAGGGATAACCCTGACTACTCGGCTGTATGACAAAGTGTGACTGTCTCTGAATACACCTCTATTTTAATACCTATCAAAATCCTGCCTGACAGCCTGCCAGTCCTCCAACCCACTGAGCTCGGTCCGGGGAAGGATATCTAACCAGACCCTTGGAGCAGTGGGGGCGCGACAACGTCCCTCACAGGCGTGGTGGAAGAGTTAAAGGAGAGGATGCCAGCCTGGGCCAAGATGAAGAGAGAGAGCAAGGGACAACTAATCTTGGTAGACGTAGAGGTGTTTAGAAGTAGAGTAGGGGCCCTTATAGACTCGGGGGCCACCCGTAGTTATATTAGTCGTAGGGCGCTGAAGAAGCTGAGGTTAGGATTAAAGGTCCAAAAGTTGGCAGACCCCATAATCAGTGTCCTCGCAGACAACCGCACAATGCGTGTTGAGGACTATGTAGAGGGAGTCCGGCCGTACTTTCGCCAGAGAAGGATGGGAAGGTGGAGAAAGTTATCCATTCCCTGACTCTCCTCGTACAGGATGACCTTCCCTTCGACGTAGTATTGGGAATGGATTGGGGAGAGGCAGCCGGGGCCACAATCCATTTGAGGGAGCATGAGTGTAGGCTCCCTAGTCCGTCAGGCGATGTTAAGACGGCCCGCCTATTTCATGTGTCAGGGGTAGAGAACCCTCTGGCCCATTGCTGTCTCAGTGCTCCCGCGTTCACGCGGTTAGTGAAAAAGGAGCAATTAGAGGATCAGGTCTTTGTGGTGTATGTGAGGCCTGTTACTGAGGGCAAAGAAGAGATAAGTTCCACAGATCCAACCATAGCCAAGTTGCTGGAGGAGTTTAAAGACTTGACCGAGTCGCCGACAGGGGTAGTGCCGCGACCCATCCAGCACAGGATAGAGATAGAACCTGGCAGTAGAACTCCTAAGGGAGCAATCTACAGGATGTCCCTTTGAGAGTTAGAGGAGCTGCATAAGCAGTTAGACGAGCTCCTCGAGAAAGGTTGGATCAGGCCCAGTTCATCTCCTGGAGCACCTGTTTTGTTTGTCCCCAAGAAGGAAGGAGAGCTTAGAATGTGTATAGACTATAGGGGTTTGAATGCGATTACAGTGAAGAATGTTGAGCCGCTGCCCAGGATAGATGATCTTTTAGACCGGGTGCAGGGTTGTAAGTATTTCACCAAGATAGACTTGAAGTCCGGTTATCATCAGATAGAGGTCCATCCTGATGACCAGTATAAGACTGCGTTCCGGACTAGGTATGGGCACTGAGTTCATAGTGATGCCCTTTGGACTAACCAACGCGCCAACTACATTTCAGCGTTGTATGAATGATCTATTTAGACCCTGGTTAGACAAATTTGTTGTAGTTTATTTAGATGATATTTTGATGTTTAGTAAGACCCTCCAAGAGCATCAGGGTCATCTCAGGCAGGTCTTGGAGAAGCTTAGAGAGGCCAACTTCAAGATCAACGCGAAGAAGTGCGAGTGGGCTAAGACACAAGTCCTGTACTTGGGCCACGTATTAGACGGAGATGGCATTAAGCCAGAGGACAGTAAGATAGCGGTGATTAGAGATTGGCCGACGCCCCGCACATTGACAAAGTTGCGGTCGTTCTTAGGCCTGGCTAATTACTACAGAAAGTTCGTGAGGAACTTCTCTACAATCGCCGCTCCCTTGCGCAGACTGCTAAAGAAAGAGGCAATCTGGCAATGGGACAAAGATTGTACATCTGCGCTCAAGAAGTTAAAGTGCGCGTTAATAGAGTACCCCGTCCTCAAGGTAGCCGACCTGTCCTTGCCATTTATCGTTACCACGGACGCAAGTCATTATGGGATAGGCGCCGTGTTGCAGCAAGACGACAGCAATGGCTATAGACCTGTAGAGTTCATGTCAGCGAGGATGCCCTGCGAGAAGGTCGCCACCTCCACGTACGAGAGAGAACTCTACGCTCTCAGGCAGGCTTTAGACCATTGGAAGCACTATCTGCTTGGGAGGCACTTCAAAGTGTATTCTGACCATGAAACACTTAGATGGCTAAAAACTCAGGCCAAGATGACACCTAAGTTGACTAGGTGGGCCGCAGAGATAGACCAATACGACTTTGAGCTCAAACCAGTAAAGGGCAAGTACAACGTAGTTGCGGATGCTCTGAGTAGGAGATCAGACTACTTTGGAGCCGTAGTACACTATCTGGATATAGGGAAAGACCTGCACGAGAAAGTGAAGCAAGCATATGCGCAGGACCCTATCTATAGCGACCTCCTAAAAAGAGTTAGAGAGGCCCCAGAGACTGAACCAGATTACCGCACTACCGATGGGTTGCTGTTCGAGAAGACTAATGTGTTTGACCGCCTATGCGTTCCCAGTAGCGAAGAGATCAGCAGTTTGATCCTAGAGGAATGTCATGACACCGAGGGACATTTCGGTTGGCAAAAGACATTAGCCAATCTGATGCGTGCATATACCTGGCTAGGGATGAAGAACGACTGCATAGAGTATGTTCGCAGTTGCAAAGTCTGCCAGCGTAATAAGTCCACTACGCGCGCCCCTCTTGGTCTTCTCAGACCCTTGCCTATCCCCGATCAGCCGGGAGACTTAGTGTCCATAGACTTTATGGACACCCAGGTCAAGAGTAGACATGGTAAGAGCCAAGTCATGGTCGTAGTTGACCGCTTTAGTAAATACGCAGTTTTTGTTCCTTTGCCTGCAGAGGCACGCACAGATGTAGTGATACAGAAGTTTTTCGACTTTTGGGTAAGTGAGAATGGAATCCCATTGTCGATAGTTAGCGATAGAGATAGTCGCTTCACCAGCCAGAACTGGCAAGAACTCATGAGAGTGTATGGATCTAAGTTACTGATGTCGTCCGGCCACCATCCAGAGACTAACGGTCAGACTGAGCAAATGAATAAGATCCTACAACAAGTTTTGCGCATGTACATTAGACCAGATCAGGTCAATTGGGATGAGATGTTGCCTAAGGTAGCTAGTGCGTACAACAACAGCGTGCATCTATCCACCTGCCGCACTCCCAATGAATTGCACAAGTCCTTTAGACCCCGTAGACCATTCGAAGGACTGAACTGGGATCAGATTCACAGACTACCGCCTGGAACAAGGGAGTTTGCGATTCACCATGAGAAAGAGTTAGCAACTGTTGTTGACAACCTTAGAAAGGCCCAGCATAAGATGATAGAACAAGCTAACAAGCACCGTCGCCCATCACAGTTTCAAGTAGGCGACTTAGTCTGGGTCAAGGCGAAGGAGTTTGCACCTGAAGAAAACATCTCGCAAAAGTTACTGCCTGCGTATAGAGGACCGTGGCCAGTTCTAGAGGTCAAGGGCGGAGAGGATGGGCCGTCCTACACCGTAGAGATTCCAGTTCACCTCCACACATATCCAGTGTTCCATGCTTCGAAGTTGTTGCCATGTGTCACAAGCCAACAGTTCCCTTCTAGGAGGTCCATGATCCCTCCGGATATGGATGGGAGCTATGACATAGAAGGCATTGTAGATGAGAATGTGTTTAGAACAGGAGGTAGAGGTCGTCCGCAGAAACAGTACAAGGTCCGATTTGCATATCAGGAACCCGAGGATGACCGCTGGTTCACCAGATCTGAACTTCTAGAGACAGCGCCCGATATAGTCAGAGCTTATGAGCGTGAACAGAGGGGTAAAAGTCCTGCCTTGGACTAAGATGTTCTCGGAGGACCTCGAATTTAGGACGGCGGGGGTGAAACGGTTTTCACCTTTTAGCAGTAGCTGACGCAGTACCCAAGGTTCGATCCCTAGACCCCAACCTTACCTGGGTACAGCACCTGTGTCATCCCGTAGAGTTGAACCCCCGACCTGTGTATCTCCAACAGCCGGTAGGTCGTCATAGGGTCCGTAGGCAACATGGGTTCGATCTGTAGACCTGTCGGATAGGAGTCCTGGCCAGGTCAAGTGGTCGTAGCTGTAGCAGTCTCGAAAGGTCAAGTCCGTAGCTGCTACAGTCCAGAAAGGTCAAG